TAGGCGGTACCCCCTGGCACTGCCCGTCTGTGGGCGAGGATGGAGCTTCAGTTGGCCATCGCGAGGGCCAAGGCCCAGGCATGGAGTGATCTCCTCAACCCTTTGGATCAGAATTCGTGGTGGCGCCCCTACTAGATAGGGCTTGAAAGACTCCGGCTGTGGGTGACTCGCTCATAGGGTGTGGATCTCTAGATTTTCGGGCGGATCGTGAAAACTACTCTTCTCCTCAATGGGGGAAAATCCGCGGCACGATTCCGAATCAACGAATCCGATTATTTGGTCCGCCAACATAGGAGTCACGGAGAAGGAGTTGGCCGGGGCGGTTGAACGCATGATGACCTTGTATACTGCACCGGGTCTCGAGCAAGCCTGGCTTTAGTCATTCTTGTGGCCCAACTTAGGCGGCTGTGTGACAGCTGCCTGCAGTCGAGCAGGTTCCCCGCACGTTGAAGGCGAGGGAGGTTAGATTTTGTAGGTTAGACAAGATAATCCAGGTCGGGGATTTTAGCCTTGATCTGGACGGTCAGTGGCGCTTCACCAGAATGAAGTGGCTCTGTCGGAGTCACAGGCTAAAGGGCTGATGCGCATGGCCCGACACAAGGCGTAGGCAAAATGGCGCTGCCTCTTACAGGGCAGCACCAACCAACGCGCGGTCGGGGCGATTCTGCCCAGTCTGGGATACTGGCTGGGTCGCAACCGAGGTAGGCTCACCTACCGTGTAACCTGGGTGTTTCCACAGGGGGGGGGGGGCTAAAGGCACCTAAGGGCTTGGCGACCCCTTGGTACCTTAGCTGATCAGCCAATAATACCAAGAGGAGCGAGATCCCTTGATTAGAAGTGGTTGGGAAAATCCGCCACGAACATCCGACCGATGATGTTGAACGGTACCTCTGGCCTGCTAGCCCGTCCTCTCCATGCCAGGAGCTGCGATGGGTTACTCTACCCTCCCCTGGTTGTCCGGCAGGATGGGCGGAGTTCCCCCCTCCCCCCGTTCTGGGGCTGACCGGGTTGGTGTTGGATTCAAGAGGGCAGTGGTTCAGCAATATGCTGATCAGGTGGCTCTTTTTCAAGGCTGCTAGCGAGGTGAGCTGCGTCAAGGCAGCTCCAGTACCCATCTGGAGAATTGTTAGAATGTTGGAAAGTCACTCCGTTCAACCCGTAACGTTTTGAAACCTCCTCACAAGTGGCCTCTGTACGGGTAGGCATCCGTTTTGTCTCCGTGTAGGGTCTTCTCAGGCGACCGCGTTAAGTGGGTATATCTTAATCTCGCGCCCATGGGCGCCGTGTCTTCAGAGCCCTCGTGGCAGGCGCGGACACGTTAATAAACACCGATGCTATTGGACATGGCTGTTTTGGTGAGTACCCATGCCAGATCAGAGCTGAAGCGACGGTGGTCTGTCACCAATGTGGAGGTGACCGGAATATGGCGCAGCATTCGCTGGAGGCGTGCCCAGCGTGGGCGGATGAGCGGCTGTATCCTGGTCGAGGAGGTTGGACAACGCCTGTGGCTGCCAGCCATCGTGAAAGTGATGCTGGTGAGCGAGAAGTCCTGGAACGCTATGGTCTCATTTTGCGAGAAAGTAATCTTGTTGAAGGAGGTCGCGGAGCATGGTTGGGAGGTCTCCGAGTTACGGAGGCGGAGGTGTAAATGGGTGGGGGGATGATTTCTCCTACCCGCATCGCTACCGCCTAGCCGGGGAGGCGTGGGGTCAAGATCACAATCCCCGGCCACAGCTATTGTGGCTCCGCTGGGAGGGACACTTTGTCCCACCACTAGCGGAGACACCGGAAACCGCAGACGGCCTAAGTGACTTTAGTTTTCATTTCATGTGTGCCCGTTTGTATGTGAATATGGTAGTGTATAGTGATTGTCTTTCAATGATTGGTTTGTGTGTACTGTGTTGTTTATATATATAGTGCATTATGTTTGCAGTATATAATAGAATATATACATTTGAAGAACTTTCCGACATGCAACTGCATCGTTGTGCAGAATGTCACTGTGTCCTTCTTTACGACTTGTAAGATGTAAAGTGTCGACTAGATGTTGTTAGTTTTGAGGAATTCTAGTGTCTTGACGTATCCTGTATTTGTTGGTGTAGGGAGGTTTGCTCAATTACAATGATATTTTTAAACATTAATGACTGAAGAAAGATTTTAATCGTTCCCTTCGAATTCCGTATTTTTATTTATAACTTTTTAATAAACAACTTATGTTTATATAACATGTTTTGCTTATTTACACCAATAGAATATATTGACAAAGTTGGGCACTTTAATCCTGGGACACCCTGTATATATATTTTATAATCAAAGTGTGTCGCTCCCTCGTTAATTACCAAATCCCACACTCTTGACAGCATTTATATACAAAACAAACATATTTTTCATAAATTGAAGAATATTAAGAAAATTGAAAGATTCTTATCTAATAGTGTAAACATTCTTAATTACTAATTAATTATTAATTGCACCAATAATTTTTCATTAGTTTATTACTATTATTTAATTATTAATTTTTTTAGTGTGTACAACATATAATGTACAAAAATTTGTGTAAAGAAAGTTATAATTATTTAACGCTAGCATAAATAGAATGTTATAAGAAAAATTAAGTGATAACAAGTGTATTTAAATGCGAGTGTTCTCTTTACATTTTCTTAACATTTTCCTTAAACCACCAATTACTTAATGTGGTTGTTTTACGGATAGGTATGTTTTGGAGCAACTTTAAATTCGATTTTAGGAAAAGTTAAGCAGTGTATCTTATACTTTTGAGATGCCATTCTATGTAACAGGTGTTAAAAATTCACGAGTTTCAGGAGCGTGTTAGCCAAAGTCAGATAATATCTAACGGTCTCGTATCGAAATCCTTATAATTTTATCACTGATCATTAAAGCATAATTTCAACAAAGAATAAGAGTAAGTAAAACATAATAGCAAAAGGGTAAATCTTCTAAATATAAGTTAAATATGAATTAACAGAAAATGAAAAAACATATTTCAGCAGTTAACACATATTAATTTATGCAACTGGTTTTAGCATGTTTAGTACATTTTAAAGAAGAAAACGAATATACTGTATTTCTAACTTCTGAAATATTTAATTGTATTCTTTGTATTCGTTATCGTTGAAAATTTGAAGAATTAGTATTATCGTTAAATCGTTATATCGTTACTTACTTGATCAGGGTAATTACCACTGCAACGGACATCGCACCTAGCAACTCTAATAGAGTCGTATTCTTCAATGTATTTCGTCCATGATGCGAGACACATTAAATGTTCGATATTTACACACTAACACGTTATACATACTTACTTGATCAGGGTAATTACCACTGCAACGAACATCGCACCTAGCAACTCTAATAGAGTCGTATTCTTCAATGTATTTCGTCCATGATGCGAGACATCGTGGTAAAAGTAACCACCAAAGCCACCATTCTGTAAAAAATTTACAGTAATATTATACAACATTGTGGTGACTGAAACAAATTTAAATCTCAACGAAACAAAACGCGATGAGCTTAACGTGGATTGAATTACGTTTGTTTTTGTTCGGAAGATTGATACCGATACGAATACCTAGTAAATCAATACACTTTCCAAGCGTGACATATCATATACCAACAATGTAGCAACAAAAGTAACGATTAGATTAAAAGGAAAGAAGTAATTGTCGTCACTATTATTTCTGTAACAAACTATCTTAACGAAAACGAAAAAAAAAAAACACATTTGATCCGACATACACACATATGTAGCAAGTGGCTTTGGTGATTGTGACTGTGATGATCTTTTGTTAAGCTTCTGTTGCGTATTCTTTTATCCCGAATGGGATAACCAGTGCATTTTTTACCTTGGAAACAGTTTCAAAGTATAATTTCATTTTCTACGATGGCGTGACAATAAACTGTGTGTATTTACAATACCTATTTTTATTTCTAGTAGCACTTGTTATTCGATAAATAACAAAATTTATAATGCAGCGAAGAATATAGAAATAATATAGAAGAATATTGTGTAACAGAAACAGAAGTAGGTAAAGAAAGTTCAGATTGCGAAGAAAGTTTAGACAGTCTTCCTTTAGATGAACACATACGAATTGAACGTAATAATTCTAAATATTGTAAATTAAGAGACAACTCTATATTATGGCATGCTCGTGAAATACTTCGATGTGGGCGAAAGCGAAAAGAAAACATTTTATCGTTTCGCTCAGGACCAGCAAGGCAAACGACAATATTCCATATAATTTCAACATAATATTAAAATTACAATATTAAGCCGTAACAATTAAACGAACTGAGTTTCATTTCTTTATACTAATTTCTTGTAAATACTATGACATTGGGTCAATTTTACCCAAATTTACTTATTCGTATAACTTCACAAGTTCCGTAAAAGGGTTAAGGTAACGAGGTCGAAAAATAACTAATTTACGAGATAAAAATATTTTCTTGCAATAAGTCTTCTGACATTCGATCGCTACATTTGAAACTTTTATATTCGCCTCTTCATATTTCTCGTAATGTTATTGTGTTGTACGATACTTAAAGTTATCTCAAGTATATTAATTTAAGTTATCTTAGGTATATTAATTTTGTGTTTTATATCATTCAGAGAAGTAAAAATAACTGAGTGACCTGTGTCTTTGAGGAAACCTCGTAAAAAAAAATTGAGCGGATTTAAATTCGGTGATCTCGGCGGTCAAGGTGAAGGGCTACGAGTGTCAAACCATTTCTCCTGATAAAACTCTATTAAGTAGCTCGTTACAATTTGAACATTATGACCCGGAGTTCAATCCTGTTGAAAATACAGGAAGTTACGTCGAACTCGATGGAATGTCATCAAATAAAGAAAGTAATGTAAATTCCAAGAAATTTCGTTTTCTTTCCTAAATTTGATTTTTATTGGTTCTTAATTGCAAAACCCGTTACAATTAAATTAAATTCATTTTAACAATTTCTTCGTTTCACAATTTTATTCATTCTAAAATTGATAAACGGAACTATGAATACAAGACGTAATAAGAATCGGTCAAAATTAAATTTGTTTATTAACTAAATGAAACGTGTGCCCCTGTACTACGTTATATGACAATAATTGAACAAACAAAGATCGAGCAAATGAGTATTGAAAAACTGGCAATCGAAGAAATTTAGAGCAAAAGAATAGACAGTGTTTAAGTATTAAGAAGAAATGTACAGTGCCTCGGAAGGTATTCTTTCTTCGACCTCATTACTGCAATATTTTTATACGTGAAATGTTTATTTACTGCTTCTACAAAGAATCAAACTATTCTTCACAATCAAAAACATAAATCTTGAGAAATTTAATTCCATTCTCTTAATTTTAATAACAGTTTAAAAAAAAATTGATGTCGATCTCTTAATTCCATTTTTTTCGCGCCTACTTTGTTTTACATTGGACAAACCCGCACTGCATCATTTGTGTAAAAACAGATATGTTTTATTTAAATAATTTCTCTATATATTTTCTACCGCTTGTCTGTTCGAGATAATTGTTGTTATATGGTGTTTTAAAGAGAATGAAAATACCGTTTAATTTTCCAATGTAAAGTCTGCCTAGCTCTTTCAAAGCAGACATTCACTTCTCAAAACTGACTCGAAAGGAACAGAACACAATTAATACAATTAAGATCGGTCACTCTAGAATCACACACTCCCGTGTCATTATCAGGACAAATCCTACAATATGCGATCGTTGCAATATACTCATTACTACAAAACACATTCTACCGCAGAAAAATATGTTTTTTGTTTCGGTGTAGATATAAAATCACAATATCAAGATTTTCACACTAGAGTATTTTTAATTAACGATTGTTCACTAAAGATACACAAAACAGTTGAACTTAGGTTACGTAGTTATACAAAATACAGTTAAAAGTAACGATAAAGCCAGTATTTGGTAGCGCTACCTTGATTCTTTTTTCGATACATTTTAAGTGATTTACTATGCGTTATAAGTAGTAAAAACACTGCAAGAGAAATTCAAATGCTCAAGATCTATAAACCAAGAAAACTGTAACACGTGGTTCTCAAGAGGCGATTTGCAGTACTGATACAAAATAACGTTCATACGACAGATAATATAGCCGAAAGTGTTGCCAAGTGTATATTTGCAATTTGTAAACATCAACGCTTCATCTGAAAATTAATCGTTACAATGTAAAACCGTCAATTTCTTACGGGTGGCTCTAATGATTTGATCACCCACTGTATGTATAATACATCGTCCCGAATTCTCAAACCGCCGAGTTAAGTTTAAATGATTTATGTCACTCTCTAAAAGATAACCTTAACGATTACCAAAAACTACAATACATACATCGAACCTTGCAATTTCTAAAAGATATTGGATCAAAACAGCAGTAGATTTCAAATTATAATCAATCCGTAACAGTTGTCGCTAATAACCTTATGCAGTTTATGCGACATTAAACTAGTATATTAAAAAGAAAGAGATTTTTATTAATCTTCTGACATGTGCATAAGTTAAAACGGAATTTTCATTTATATAGGCTTTACACGTTAGTTTTAACAAGCAGAACATTTAAAGAATTTATATTAATCTGTATACAGGGTGTCCCACCAATTCTGTCTATTTACTTCAAATATCTCCACTATTTCAAGTATTAAGTGAAAACACTACTTACGAAAGTTGTATGGTTGCAAGAAAGACAACATAGTGGAAATAGTTTCTTTACAGATAAAGGTATACAGGAGATCTGGAAGTGAATTTCGTTTTTATAAATGGAGTGTCCAATTTTTTCTAGTCAAGTTAGATAAAGTAGTAATTTCTGAGTGAAAAAGTACCAAGGTACACTTATTCCAAAAATTCATCAATCCTGAGGTATTCGATTTTGACAATCCTATTACTTTCATTATGAAACATGTTCAAAGTGTCGACCATATGCACTGATATAATGTAATCTGTGAACCGTTGAATCCCTTGCATGCTTATCGTCTCGCGGTCTATTCCAGGACATGCTGCAGTAATCCGTTGCATCATATCTTGCGGTGTAGTTGTTGTTTCTCGATACGTAATATTTATCATAAAAAAACGTTTCATAATGCAAGTAATAAGATGGACAAAGTTGAATATCTGAGGAATGGTGAGTTTTAGGATAAGCGTAGACTCGGGCAAAAAAGCCTTCGTACACCACGTTAGAATTTTAACAGAGAAAGTAGCAAATAAATGATATTTATCTCATTTTATTTAGAAACATAGCATTTAGGTACTATTGGTACAACGAAAACTTATCGACGTTCATTTGTTAACCATTAAACTAAGGAGAAAGAATAATGTAGCAGAAACGGGATGAAAAAGATTTCCGTACGGTATCTAAGAATTCAGCAAAATGTTTATAAAGAAGGTTCCAAAGGCAAATACAAGATAATTTCTTCTTTACCAGCAAAATGTCAACGAACAAGGCTCTAAAAGCAAATACAAGTAAGTTTCTTGTTTACAGGTAAGTAGAGAAGACATTACTCTAAATATCTTTCCCATAATGGAAAATATCTGTTTAATTATTAACAAATGAACGTAAATTATTTTTCTTGGTATTAATAGCACATGTTATGTTTCCAAATAAAATCACGTAAATATTATTTATTTACTATTTTCTCTGTTAAAATTATACAACGTAAAATAAATTCTAATGAGGTGTACAGAAACTTTTTTGGTTGAATGAATTATGTACACCTTAGCACTTTTATACTGAAAATTCGCTCATCGATCTAATTTTACTATAAAAAATTGGACACTCTATTTCAAAAAATAAAATTGTCCTCCAGATCTCTTCTACGTCTCCACTTGTGAAGAAATTATTATCACTGTTATATCTTTCTTAACACTATACTACTTGTGTAAGGAATATTCCCGCTTATTACTTGAAATAATGGAGATATTTGAGATGGACCGAGTTGGTGGGACATCATGTATACGAGGAAAGAATTAGAAATTATTGTGCTATCTTAATGAGTCCCTAAGAACGTGCAGGTACTTGCGTTAGCTAAACCAATAGTAAAACAGAATGTTTATTTTTGCGGTTACTAAAATGTTTAAAGTGTTTTTAAAATTTCATAAAAAAAAGTTAGAAATAACTTTTTGTAGGTAGTAAACGAAATGATTTTTTATTAATATTTGGTTTTAAAAAATATTTTGCATATGTAAAAGAGAAAACTTCGTCTGCTTGTTAAAAGCTTTTCTGTTTGAACACAGCCATATTATGTTTTTCTTCTGTAATACCGTAGCTAATAAAATGCTGACAATTATCATATAATAACATCGAATGAAGAGATGCCGTTAAATAGGAAAGTATAAACAGATGACGACGTAATTTTCTCTGCTTAGATATTATCGACAGCGATGTAACAAAATGTTCACTTCAACAGCTATTTTTAATTATATTGTCA